CTTGGAGCAGCTGATGAGACATTGTGGGTCCAAAGTCCGACTATACTATAGATTTTAGCTGACACCAGCAGGGTTTGACCTCTCGAAGCTTTACGGGGTGTCCGTGGTTCACCTCTCCGATTCTCCCGATAATCGTGCTTCGACATGGTCGCACTTGAGCGACGTGACGACTGGTGGGTGTTCCAAGAGGTTGATAGAAGAGCGCTTGACTGATGGCGCAGACCTAGGGAACGTTCGGTTGGAGCTAGTATCGGCCCGTGGCTCACAATGTCCCCGTTGTTGGTTGTACGGCAGCCTCCCATGAGGAAACCCTTTGTGCTCGTTGCGAATCCGTAGTGCAAACTTGATGGATAGATAAGTCAATGATTATGGATGTGCTTGAGTTCAGACTCACCACTGATGCCACGACCGTCCTGTCAGGCTTGTTCCCCGCAAGTCATGTGACGGGATGAGCCGAAGATACAGTAGCTATTCCGTCGGAACACTCGAACGAAACCCTCGGCGTGGGAGCTTGAAGGGTGCCTTGAAAAGAGCTCAAAAGCCGCCGTGCCGCCGTTGCTTGATGGGCCAGCCTCGGTCCTTACTTGGGTCAGGCACCAGCTTCATCTCTCAGGGGGCGGCGCAGACGGGGGCCTGTCGTACCTCGTGTACCTGAAGACTCTGATGAGAGATCGCAATCCGAGTGGCCGCTGGAATCGCACCTTGAAGCCTAGACTGGTTTTTAGCCCATCAAAGGAAAAACCGAGACCCTGGATCGACGGGGCCTCAGCACAACTTTTCCCCCCCTTGCTTTCAGACGCCTCTCTCTAGACGGAAAGACAACAATCTCTGCTTCATGCTTCAATCCATCACACAATCTCCCCACTTCCCCCCTCCCTCCATCTCATCCTCTCTTCGGCTCACGGCCATCGGCCAAAGTTGGGTTGGGATCGTCACTTAGCATACTCAAAGATTCACTTTGGTGCTACATATCTTCTCATTCGAACACATTTTCCGCAGACTCTGCTGAAACATCCCTTTGGCCTTTGGGCCGTTCCTAGGAAAATTACCTGATCGATTCCCTTCTTTCATCGTCCAGTTGTAGTATCAATTCATGAGAATACTCAATTACACCGACGCGTGATCATGGTCTGACACCAAAAGATCTCCCACCAGCATCTCCCCACTTTCCCATTCACTAGATCTTGGTCTTCCTTACCTTCCCCCTTCCCCCCACGCACCCACCCACCTACCATCGGCGATAGGGCTTTATAACCAATGTTTCAACTCCGTCAGTGCAAGCTGCCACACATGCGATCGACACAATCATCAATCATCATCATGTCCAACTGTGCTGACAAAACCCCCTATCGCTACGTCCGCTACGACTCCGTCTTGAGGAGACCCTGAACACCAAGCTCGAGCTGAAAATTGACCCTTCCACTCAGTCGACAACGTCCACGACCATGCTCTTCGTAAGAGAAGACATCGCTCGAGTTAATCTCCCGAACTGGTATCACTTTAGGAAGAGATTATGATCTGGATCCAGAGCTCAAACCACCTATCAGTCCCAACTCCCTTCTAGCCGAAAGAGCACAAGGGCAAAGACCGTATTCGAGACAGTCACATGGTTGTGGATCAGTGACGGCAGGGTCAGGGGATAGCAAGAATACCGGTGATGAAGATACGTTGCCCATTTGTAGACGGGAAGCGATCGACTCGCAGCTCAGAGGTTCAGGAGTAGGAAAAAAGGTTATCAAGATAATCTGGAAGGAAGAATAAGGATATTGGAGGAAGAGAATGACGCTTTGAGACAAAGATTAGGAGAAGGAGTAGGGAGTTCATCTTCTGTGATACTTGGTGGTCCATCATATCCCCCGGTTATGGGAGAGGATCACACCATGACTAGACCTTGGCATCGTTCCCCAGTTTCGGCCAATGTGAATCCTGGTCGAAGTGGACAAATACAACCAGGACCTTATCACATTGGATCACCTTCTCCCGAACGACGAGAAAGTTATGCGGAAGGTGACGTTCGTATACCCGCCTTAGAGGCTGCCAATCGACGGTTGCAGGAAGAACTTCGGATGTCGCATGATGAGAATGATCGATTAAAGGAAGAACTAGCACATTGGGCGAGATGGGAAGCGGAAAGACGTGAACGCACGGGTACGGCTGGATCAGCAGATGAATTTGGAAGAGTGAGTCTTTCATCCCCTCCGTTCGTGACCGTCCATACTGATATTACATAAGTCCCTACGCAATGTACCTTCTATCCATTCACTCGAATTAGGTCCACTTCCAGCGAGATCATCTTTTCATACTTTACCTTCACCATTATCACGTCCAGCTCAATCTCCACATCCTCCTCTCGAACGAACACATTCGTATTCTCACCCCATCTCTCCCTATCGTCTAACATCACCAGGTATCCGTCTAGCTCCCATCCGACTTCCACCGTTTCAATCTGCCGTTCGACACGACGAACCTCCACCTCATCCAAGATCGGCGTTTCCGGCTCACCCAATTCAGGACGCCCAACCCGTACGACCGAAATCGAGGAACCGTCGTTCGCGTTCTTTGTCTTCTCCTAAAATACACGACTCTCATCGATAACAATTCGCCCATTGTGTCAACGTATGACACACGATAATTCGCTTTCAATGGTGCGGAAGAAAAAGTATAGTCGGGTCGAGGGGCACACACGACCCCCTCGGCCGGACAGATAAAGAAGTAAAATATAAAAACTGGTTCGAGTTACTTTGATTTAGCATCTGGCTCGTCCAGCATTCATCTCTTTGGGCCTTTATGCATGTCTCTGTTCTTCTCAGTTGATCTGAGTAGTCCGGACTTGGGATTCCCACTTGCAAGCCAGGATATATCAGGCTTTGGGCGATTAAGACCATAAGCCCCCCTTGTGCCACTAAAAAATGCCACACCTAAACCTATCCGGTTTCGTTTTCTCACCTGGAGGAAGATTCCTCTTTGTCACTTTCTCATTCCATTCTCGAATGTCGTCATAAGTAAGAGAGATATACGCCGAGCAGGCTACGGTAAGTTACAAGAATGGACCTGGCAGCTATAGAGAATCAACGACGTGCCGATCGTTGTGAGTCACCCGTCAATCGCCTACATCCTGTCGACCCAGGCCGCTGATCTGCTAGGGGACAAGGGTATCAAGATTGGTGAAGGGACGTTCGCCAATGTATACAAGGGTATGCCAGATATTCTTGCTCGTAACGCCTTATGATTGATTCAACCAGGTACCGAGAAAGCTACAGGCCGCAAGGGTGAGACGACTCCACAAGAGTTGAGATCGACCAAAAGCTGATTACTAGTCGCCATCAAAAAAATTAAAGTCGGTGAAATGAAAGATGGGTTGGATATGACAGCTCTCAGAGAGGTGAAATTCTTACAAGAACTCAGACATCCCAACATTATCGCTGTAAGTCTCATCTGAACATCTTAAAATCCATCTGTAGACTGACCAGAACCAGCTGCTAGACGTTTTCTCGGTGAAACAAAATATCAACCTCGTCTTGGAATTTCTTGATACGGATCTAGAAGCTGTCATACGAGATAAAGCGCTCATATTCCAAAATGCGGATATCAAAAGTTGGATGGCGATGTCTCTGAGAGGATTGGAGTATATTCATCGGAATGGTGTCCTTCATCGTGTAAGTATCCCATTCCCTCATCACAATGCTTATTCGTCTCAGGATGAAGAGAGGGAGAAGGTCTTTGGCTAAGAAGTAATAGGATCTCAAACCGAATAATTTACTCATCGCTTCGAATGGAGAACTCAAAATCGCAGATTTTGGTTTAGCCAGGGAGTTTGGTGACGCCGGAAGTCGAATGACATGTCAGGTGATCACTCGGTATGTGTCCCTTGTGGATATATAAAATGAGTGAAATGATACGGACCGTCGTTGATGAGATCAGATGGTATAGACCTCCAGAATTATTGTTCGGTGCAAGATACTATTCCGCAGCTGTGGACATATGGTCAATAGGTACCATTTTTGTCGAACTCATCCTTCGTGTACCGTTCTTAGCCGGTGATACGGATATCGATCAACTCAAAAAAACATTTCACGCCATGGGGACACCAACAGAGCAAGATTGGCCAGTGGGTCTCTATCTTTCACTCCGAATCCTTGATACTCATGTGCTAATTCGCTATAGGGTCATACCAAATTGCCCGATTATCATGAGACGCCACAACATCCCAAAAATCCATGGTGGAACATGATTTCATCTATCGGAAAAGAAGGTCAAGATCTTGCCAGAGAATTACTCCGCTTTGATCCTCTTCAAAGACTCTCTGCGGAAACAGTAGGCTTCCTCCATTGACTTATCCGGAATGCTTATGACATCAGGCCCTACACCACGAATACTTCACTGCATTCCCCCGTCCAACTCCACCTATCAAACTCCCCAAACCGTTGGCAGAACTTCGACCTAGAGCTCTGGCTCCGGATGAGACCCAAGGCAAACCTATCTTGTCTGGCACCGAGAATGGTGTCGTCAAACGGAAAGCGGAATCGCCCTCTTCGTTGGGATTAGATGGCAAGCGCATCGCACGGCGACTTTTTGCATGACAACAATTGCAGGACATAATACACAGATTTCGTATGAACATCATGTTATTTATAGAGGATCATGAAACATGGCGAAAGATAGCACCCGTCCTCGGCGGAATGAAACAGTTCTAACTCGTGAGCTTGTCTCCTCTCTCATGAATGTTCACCAACGTTGATCGTAGCTTTTGCCCCTGTCCTAGTTGTGACTATGGCCAACACCTCCCTCGACGTTTGTCCTTTGCCGCCGTACCATCCCTCGTCCGTGTCCAAAGCGTTAGCCCACCGACCCGCCTTCGGAGCGGGTACTGGTCCAGTCCATGATTTCTCGCCGTCAAGGTTGTATATGAAGAGCAGGTCTGCTCTGACGTAGACGAGGTGTCTCTTGGCCTGTCCAGTCAGCTCAGTTGCGTCTCACAATGAAATTTATGCATACCTCCTCATGAAGCAAGACATCGCCAGGTAGCGCGGACAACCAATGATACTGCTCTTCTCTATCGTTTAGAGCTTGGTCAAACCCGTGTAGCTGTTCGAAGCGAAGTGTGGTGTCGTCCACAAGGTTCCATTTGCGGTACGCACGATCTTGGGAGTAATGATTGTTGTCACTCGGTAGATCAATCCACTACGACTGTCAATTGAACTCGTACGTTAGCGACGAAGCGTGACACTTGCCTCTGGATGACCAAACTATCATGTGAGATCAGCTGCTTCTGAGTACGTGTCTATCGCTGACGCGAACTCACCTCGTTGCCCATGAAGTCTGCAAAATATGAGCACCATTTCCATAGAAACGAAAGCTTACTAACTCATGTAGCCCTCTCCCCCAAGCGTGTGCGTCAGCATACTACGACCATCAGCCTCGTGCATTCTAATTTTACAAGACTCACCGCATGAGCTTATGCCATGCCATCGCCATCTCGACTCTCGGAGTCGCTTCCTGAAATCTAGACATGCACGAGTAGATGTCACCTGCGAAAAGCCACTGTGCAGCTGTTGAACCCCCCACGATACACTGATCGTCTCCGCCTCAGTCCACCCGTCACACCACTACTTGAAATAACCCACGACTTTCCACAAAAGCAATGCTAGGCTCCCCAAGATTCGCCCTCCGAAGCATCAGAGAACCAAGAATCTTTGCGATGAATCCGAGTGATTGTGCGTCCATGTCACTCTCTCGTCGTAAGAGATCAAACCAGCAATCCGGTATCTATACTCAGCACATATCTTCCAAATCGAGAGGCGCTTACGCCAAGAGCTAGACGATAGGTGAAACCAATGCCACCCTCAGATACGGGGATGCACAAGGAAGGATACCCCGAGACATCTTCGGCGATCGTGGCTAAAAATCAGCTGTCATCGCGCTGTCAAATCAGCCACGAACTGAGCTGCCCGGGAGCTAAGAGATCAAGCAGATGATTTGCCTGAAAGTCGTGAGCATGCGGCATCAAATGAGGGAAGTCGCCCACCAGCATAAGATACGTGATGGCATGATCATCAATATGAGATCCGAAGTATTCGTCGTATCGTCCGGTGAAGCTCCTGTTCAGTCCATGGTCTCGGTAGATCATAGCTGTTACAGCGTCAAATCGAAATCCGTCAAAGCCGACTCGTGTGATCCAATAACGTAAATTACATCTGGTTGACGTGAGCTGGATCTCGTGACAGTGCCGGGCACTCACAGGAGAAATCTCAAAGTTTCCATCTGTTCATAGTCAAACAAACGTCTGTCAGTCAGGCCACGTCACCGCAGAACGAATAAGATGGACTGACGTTGTCCATTCTGGATGCAGATGACCTTTGAAATAGCCCGCGTTCTCCGTGCCATCAAACCGATTCAACCCCTCCCCTTCATTGGTCGAGGCATGCGCGTGTACGATATCCATGACCACTCTGATACCTTTCGAATGAGCGTCATCGATGAGTGCGATGAGGTCTGTGACCGAGCCTGGATATCAGTGTCTTCCGCCAGTCGCTCATATACCCACCAAAGCGAGAGCTAACAGCGAAGAAGTTCGTCACTTGATAACCGAAACTGGGGTAATAAGGATGTTCGGCAACCCCCATCCTGCAGGGGCCATCAGCCTGATGCGCAATTACCTTCAGAAACCTCACAACTGGACGGTGGTATAACCCGCTTTGATGATTCGGGGCAAAACAGACTGTCGAAAGCTGTCAAAAGTCCCCAGCTGACCCGCAACACCGGATGAAATACCAATGTGAGCTTCGTAAATGCTAAGCTGGTCAATATAATGGACGTGAGACGCAGAGAGGGTCTGACCGTTCTGCTCTTGGTTTTGGCGGTCGTGCAGGTCGTTGGCGTCCTGCCGTAGGGAACTCATTCTCCAGACCTAATTCCGGAAAGGGTCTCGGAGGAGAGCTCATGCGACCTCGATAGTGCACCTCACCAGTGGTTTGAGTGGCATGATAAATTTGGGCTGGTATCCGTTCGAGATATTGCAGCTTGCCTGATCCCGAGAATGGAGTGATGATTACCTGCGATCAGTCACACGTGTCCGGAATACATGACCTTACTCGGACTTCAGCTCCTTGGCTGATCGTACACCTTCCATCTGGCAACGGGGCCACCGTGCATCTCCACAGACCGTTGATCGAATCGTCGAGGGATCGCATGGGACAGTTCAAAGGGTCGAACCCGTCTAGGCGAGTCAGCAGGAGTGCTGGCGGTATCCAGACAAAGTGAACCCCACTGAAATTGCCGACCAAGGAAACAGCTTGTGCACCAGGAGCATACTCGGTGTAAGTCACCTGACCGGTGGCAGGATCGATCTGATAGAGTCAGTAGACAGTCAGAAGTTGTGAATCACCCATAGACCGCGTTGGCTGAGCTCTGTGAAGTTGAGCAAACCTCCATGACTGTGATTGATGGTGCGAAGGACATGTTGGAAACGAGCCCATCTGACGAACATGTCAGCTCTGTCCAAGTCAAGTTTGAGCAAACACCACACCGAGCACGTATATGAGTTACCCATGGCCTGAGACTTGCATCGTGTCGAGTACAGCCCAGGACGGGGTCAAAGGCGACCTGCATGGGAGGGAAAGAGGAAGAGTGGTCCTTGGTAAAGTTCTGCCGCGTATCTGACACGACAGAGTTGCCTTGGGCGTGCCTATTTAGTCGTTCTGTTGGGTCCCGGCGCGCCTAATACACCTCACCGACCGGCGAGCCCAGGTATGCCCGAGCCAGCCGTCGGTGTGTGTCTCTCTCTCTTTCGTCTCGCACCCACAACAACAGTCTCAAAGGTTTACCTTATACAAAAGGTGACCCTCAATCGCGCCGTCTCCTGGATCATCAGCAGTGATCAGGTCTGTATCCACTTTCAGAGGATCTACAAACCGTCCGCAATCCTCACGATGACTTCCCTTTTTCATCGCAAGAACAAAGACAAAGCAGCCGAATCCACGAGTGCACCAACGCAGCAGGAAAAGGTCAAATGGTCAAAACGACCAGCAAGTAAGCTGTTTCTATCTGTCATACATGTGCATAGGGATGACCATCTTCTAGACACCGCCTTCAAGCAGCAACGTCTGAAGGCTTGGCAACCCATCCTCACTCCAAAGGCCGTCTTACCAACCCTCTTTCTCATCGGTATCATCTTCGCTCCCATCGGTGCTGTCATAGTTTGGGGCAGTGGGAAAGTCACCTCGATCACTCTCGACTACACTGAATGTGACGCTCAGGCTCCTACCGATGGCAGCTTCGCGACCATGCCCAGTGGGAGCTACAGCTGTACGTTTCTCGTCAGCTGCTTCGTGTCCGGCTAAAACATCAAGATGACTTGTCTAGCAGTTCACCCGTGTCCAAATCTGACATCCCCGTGCCACAGTGGTCTTTCAGCAACGATTCATCCCGCGGTGTAGGCGAGCAAGCACAATGTCAGATCAACTTTCAAGTACCGTATGATCTGGGTATGTCCGATATCATGTCAAGCATCCAGACGCTGACTGCTCTTAGGACCCGGTGTCTTCCTGTACTATAGGCTCACAAATTAGTAAGCCATCCTCGCACCCTTGTAAGCTATAATCTGACCGTCAGCTATCAGAACCATCGTCGATATGTTCAGAGTCTGGATGCATCACAGCTGAAAGGCGATCATCGATCTCTGTCAGTAGCGCGTGCTTCTCTCTTGCGCGAGCTCATGAGTCAGGTCAGACATCAACAGCGGAGACTGCAAGCCTGTTACATCGGAGAATGGAAAGCCGTACTACCCCTGCGGTCTCGTTGCCAACAGTTTCTTCAATGGTGAGCACGTCTTCCTCTGCGAGGGTCAAGCAACTGATCCACAGATACTTTTCCGCAGGTTGTGCTGCTCAATCCTTCCAGTACGTCTTCACCATCCCTTGACCTACTAATTACTAACCCGCAGATGGCGCGCAGAATGAGACTTACAATTTTACAGAGCAAGGCATAGCTTGGCATGGGATCCGAAAAAACTATGTCAACACGCCTGGCTATGCGTCCCCATCCGATGTGCTACCGCCTCCCAACTGGGCTCTGCGATACCCAAATGGGTATACTGACGAGACTGGGTTCCCAGCATTGAGGGACGACGAACACTTCCAGAACTGGATGCAGATCGCCGCTCTACCAACGTTCAGAAAATTATGGGCCCGAAACGATCATGATGTCATGTCGACTGGTACCTACCGCGTCGTCGCCAACATGAGTGAGCTTTTCATATACACCTTGTGCCTCTTAAACTGACACAGTAGACTATCCCGTCAAGCAGTTCTCCGGTACGAAGTCCATAGTCATCTCTACTGTCTCCTGGATTGGAGGAAAGCAGCCCTTCCTTGGTTGGGCCTATATCGCCGCGGCCATACTCTGTGTCGTCTTGGCCATCGCCGGCCTCATCCGACATTTGGTGAAACCTCGCAAGTTGGGGGACATGAGCTGTGAGTCCTGCTTGCGTGCTTCTCTCCCTCAGTCCAGGGCTGATTGTGTCAGTGTTGTCATGGAATCAATGAATAGTGATGGAGAAGGGGTACCCGGGGTTGAACATCTAGGCACGGGCATGTATGATCTGTCACTACAAAGTCGAGTGTTTTCCCCATTAATCCTCTGCCCTCTCCCCCACGCCCATCTCTGCATGACAGAGAAGTAGCTTTACCAATCTTCTGTCCATACTCTTTGCTTAGCATCAAAAATTTGGCATTATTCGTTTCATTGAGAACGCAGGCAGCACTTGGGCACGAAGTCAGCTGGCCGTCACCGGACTGGCAACGCAAGACACCTCACGTACGCGATGAAGTGAGAAACGTTGGCAATGTTTCCTACCAACGGATTCACTGGTCGAGGATGCAAGAGAGGTGTGAAGGAGTGTTATGTATGACATACAATAACGCGGTCGCTTAGCTTGAGGGCTTCTGCAGGTGAGATCATCGCAGCCAAAACGTGTGCTCGTACTCGCTGGTGATGAGATACAAGCTCCCCAAACTACGAATGCTACAGCCGAAATGTGCATGTGATGATGATGTATTTTCTATCGACGAAGCTTTCACGAAGTTTTGAACAGAGCAGCATCCGACTGCCAAAAATTCGGCAGTACGTCTGCAGTCAGCTTCAGCAGGTATTGGAAGACGTCGCTCACAATCTTGCAGCTTAACCGCCCACCACTGTCTCAGCGGCATGGTGGGCTCCTGTGAGCCGAATAAGGCCCAGCGGCCCCGAATCGCCATACCGAGTATGTCTTCTCTCATAAGACCTGCCAGCTTTTCAGGTTCCGCCCAAATGATGATCTCCGCAGGCTCTTCGATCGTCGGTTTCTCCCTTTCCAAGGGTCCCACCCCTTCGTCCTGAGGCTCTGGATCTACCTCCAGCGTATCTTCCATCCTCGATCGCCTCCAGCCTTCCTCTTTCGTCCAGGGAGCCGGAGCAGTCACCAAGCGAAGCAATCTGGAAGCATATGGCGGTGTAATCGCTGACGGGTCCATGGGCGGAAGGACGTCGACGATGCGTCTACGAGAATAGGGAAGGTGTTGCAGCATGTTCACTTCTTCGTGTTTGAATGGAGAATACAGCGTCGCCAGCCCGGGGAGGACTATATGTCAATTTAGCGGTTCAAGCGACCGAAGTAAGGTCTCACCTTCGGGAAGACTGGCCACCGACGGTCGAGGAGCAACCACTGTATATCAGTGCCGAGCCCAAACACCAACTCGTAAAGTCCTACCGCGGTGGACTTTCCACCCGCCATCGTCCTCCTCATCCGCCAAAGGTGCAGGGTCGTGTACATCGGCCTCCCGCTCCATCCCTCCACGCTCGGCTTGCCCATACGTCCCTCCATGCGCGACCCATAATGCTCTGTTCCACCCCAGGCTCGCAGCAACGGCGTCTTCGACAACTTTTGCGTTTGCGATATGCCTAGGGGCTGAACGAGCTAGAGTGAAAGCACGCCTCATAGACTCCTTCAGTTGTACTTCAGGCAATACCTCGTGGTGAACTAGGAAACCGAGGAAGGACGCAGTGATATCTAGGAATCAGAGTTTTCTTGACTAGTCGGTGCTTGAGAACTCACGAGCAAGCTTGATAGCAGGTCCTGTATCCCTGACGGTCATCGGTGGCAGACATCGTATGAAGAGAAAACGTACCAACCCGCCTCCGCTTCTTTCCGCGCCATAGCTAAGAATCCCCGCACACTCGCTTCCGTTCTCGACAGGAGGAAGCAGATCTCTTGTGGAGCATGACACTCGACGTCATGGGGGGATTTGAGGGAGCCCCAATGATCGGAACGAGCTACACGAGCCGGAGGAATGTATGGCTGACCGTTCGGGCCGGATCCTGGCCAATGTGGACCTGGAACGTCGCTACGTAAGTTAAGTGCGTTTCGCATCTTCACCCTGTGAGCGACGCAAAGTACCAACAGTGGAAGGACTGACCAGATCGAACAGTCTCTTGTTTCGGGCAAACAAAAATTCCTCAACTCTTGAGCTGAGAAATTCCTGAAGAGCTGTGAGCACTGCGGGTGAGTGAGATTCAGCATCGGTCAAACTGACCTCGTGTGAACGGCGGTGTTGACCTGCAGTGAGTGAGCATGGTATACATGATAGCTATGGCAGACTCACTGATGATACGAGGCCAGGCTGGTCCCGTCAGGCTCGACCCATTCTTCTTCTTCGTTTCCAAGCTTGAGACAATCAGATCGACGTAAGACGACCTTTTTAGGAGCCGACAGGGAACCTGAAGGACCACCTTGAATACTGACCAGTAGATTACCACGAGAGTCACAAGGAGAATCAACCGTCGACACTAAAGCTGCTCGCCCGTCTGAAGAGGCTGACGTGAGGGGGAGCCAAAGACCTTGAGATTGCCAGAGATGGAATGGTACAGCGGAGCAAGGTGGGAAAGGTGGAAGGACGAGAGAACCTTCAAGCCACGTCGGGACACTGTCATGCTCTATGACTGATTGGACTGGTACGACTGCCATGACTGTCTAGTAAGGCCCAAGTACTTAGGAGTAGGATTGAGGATGAAGAGAAGGGTTCGCTGCTGCAATGCTCGCAGGTGAACAGACTAGGGCGGGGGGGCAGGGGGGCCCCGCATTCGAGCAGTAGTGTTCGCTTACGTAACATCAAACCACATTTACGTGACTGACTTTTGACTTGTGTTTTTGCGCGACGTATGTACTCCACTCTTTCCCCCATGTAAACATCCCCCTTTCCCTTCTTTCATCATTCATCTTGTGCATACTTTAATCATCTTTTAGCATCTTCGTTTTCACCTGCATATTCCCACCCCCACCCACACCCCGACATGCCGGTCTCATCATCTAGAAGGTCGCCTCTGCCGCAGAACCCATATCCGCAGCCTCTCCCTGCCCCTCAACCCCCTTCGTCCCATTCCATACCCGCCTATCCCAATCAGACGCGTACTCTGTCCCCTGCACCACCCTACGACTCGGCCCTACCTGATCCTTATCAGCGTACAAGAGATCTTGTCTATGGTCCTTCTGGTGCCGCTCAACATCAGCCGCATTACACCCATCCAGCCCCCTATCCGCCGTTATCACCTCCGCATCCGACGACCACTCAGCCTGACCAGCGATCAAGACTTCCGTTTTTTGAAGCTGCACTGGCCCGTTCCAGAGATGGTCACACAAATGCTCAAACGTGGACTACCGGTCCCACTACACAAACTGCCCCGTATCAGCTGGCCCCCAGCTATCTACCACCCACGGATCCCAACCATCCGAACCTCGCAGTGGGCTTGTTTCAGTCCAGCACCGTCCGATTCGCCGCGAGTGCCCCGGAGGAAACCTTGAGAGCTGGGTCGAGATCACCTTCTCCGGGCATGGACGAAAGCTTCGAACACACCTATCACTTCGATGATCGTGATGATCTTACCGGTGACGTGGAAAAGGCGCTGTTGTCCTCTCAGGCGAATGATCACGACCAAAAGGGGATGGACGATAAACTGTGGAACGAAAAGCTCTCGACATTTGGACTGCTCGGAAATGGACAAGAGGGTGATCTGTCTCTTCCTCCTTTCACTGGACATGGGTTCAATCCTGCTCTCCACGCTGTACCTTCCATTCACGTGCGAGGACCGACAAACGCCTCTTCGCAGAGCGATTCTTTCGAGGCACTTCAGACCTTTGAACAAGATCTGGCCGCTTCGTCCACTCAGCATTTTGGACCCGCCCCAACAGGACGTGTAGGCCGTAGGACTCAGAATGCCCGGAGGATCAAGCAGACTGCGACTTTGGATGAGAATGGTTTTTTTGCCGTCGACATGCCGATTCCGACCCGCTTGGCTCAGTTCCTCCCCGTGAAAGGCGTCGAGGAGCAGAAAAGCACTCGGTATGTATTTCTGTCGACGTGAGGAAGTGAACTAAACCCCCTCCAGCTACACCGCGGTGACCACTGATCCTGACGGTATCCCCACTTCCGGTCTGAGGCTCCGTCAAAACACTTTCGATCCACCAAGACAGACAGAACTTTTCATCGTCATCACGATGTATAACGAAGACGCAGAGTTGTTCTGCAGGACGCTTTACGGAGTGATGAAAAACATCGCCCATCTCTGTGCTCGCAAAAATTCACGAATCTGGGGCAAGGATGGCTGGCAGAAGGTGAGGATTCCTGAAATGCAGATACACTTGACTGACAGAAAGGTGGTGGTCTGCATAGTTGCGGACGGTCGTAAGGCCGTGAACCCTCGAGTGCTCGATTGCTTGGCTGCTCTTGGTGTGTTTCAGGAGGGTAAGTTTGCAGGTGACCTCGCCTACAACTGAGCTGACATCGACAGGTGCAATGACCAACTTCGTGAAAGAACGGCCAGTCACAGCACATGTCTTCGAATACACGACTAGCTTTGCTCTCAATGGAGATCTTCAATTCAAGTATCCAGACAGAGGAATTGTGCCGTGCCAGATCATCTTCTGTATGAAGGAAAAGAACGTTAGGTTGTCTCTCAACAAGTGATGTTGTTTTTGACATATAGGCCAAGAAGATCAACTCGCACAGATGGTTCTTCAATCTCGCCCCATTACTTTCTGTACGTATGCCATCCCCTATACCGTCCGTAGAGTGCTAAGCCAACAAGCCCAACGTGTGTGTTTTGCTGGACGTCGGCACCCGTCCTGCTCCGAAATCTCTCTATTACTTATGGAAGGCCTTTGACCTCAACTCCAAGGTCGGCGGTGCTTGCGGGGAGATAGCTACATTTAAAGGGAAGACATGGAGAAGTCTGCTGAATCCCTTGGGTAAATCTCAATGCACCGACAAGGCTGACCTACAGTGGCCGCGCAATGCTTCGAGTACAAGATGTCCAATATTCTTGACAAACCGATGGAAAGTCTGTTCGGCTACTGTACTGTGCTTCCTGGAGCATTCTCTGCCTATCGAGTGAGCCACAATTGAAACTCCAATAGCGATGTTTGACTCGCCAGTGGATCGCTCTCCAGAACAACCCGGATGGCACCGGCCCTCTCGCCTCGTATTTCCAAGGAGAACAGCTAGGTACGGGCAAAGCTGATACTTTTACAGCCAACATGTAGGTCTTTTTGTGCTAAAGGCCGTTGTTGACGAGACAGGGTTCGTCTACCGACTTCCTTATGTTGTTCAGTCGGCTAATGTGAACAGTACCTAGCGGAGGACCGCATATTGTGTTTTGAGATCGTGTATGGTCCACCACAACTCTCCTTGAGGTCGGATGCTCACGATACAGTGCCAAGAGCAAAGCCAATTGGATTCTGAAATTCGTCAAATCCGCTGTTGGAGAGACAGACTGCCCTGATACAATTCCTGAGTTTATCGCTCAGCGTCGACGGTCAGTCAATCATCCGCCCAGCATGACCTCGCTTATTTTTAGGTGGCTGAACGGCTCACTCTTTGCTGCGGTGGGACTCCATTCCTAGACCGAATGGAGAGTTTCGAGCTGACCTACCTAGGTGTATTCGCTCATCCACGTCATGCAGATCTGGCGGTCCGATCACTCCCTCCTGCGAAAGAGTGCTCTCATGCTGGAATCTCTGTACAACGCACTCAACTTGGTATTCACATGGGTAGGTCTTTCATTCCCCGAAGCAGTTGCTGCTGATCGTTCTTGTTTGCCCTAGCCAATTTTTACATTTTTTTCGTCAGTCCTCAAGCCAGCCCCAGTGTCACGTCGTTGACACTGCAGGTCATTCTCACAAGCGCTCTCGAGGGCAGCACCTTCAATATTCCGCACATCGGTATCTTAAATAGCATCGCACAAGTAAGTCTGGATCATCTGAACGAGCTGATACCCAGTACGGGTATCTGGGCGCGCTGGTCGCGTGTTTTATCTTTGGTATGGGAAATCGACCTCAAGGGTGAGTGTCATAAGCCACATATGTGCTCGGAATGCTGAACAAGCTGAGGTCTCCTTGGAAATACAAATTTACTATCTACTTCTTCGCCATCCTCACCACTTAGTGAGTGTTTTGCCTCATCAACTTCAATCGCTAATCATTCAGTATGCTCGTCTGTGCTGTACTATGCGCTGCACAGGCCGTCAAACAATTCAATCAGCCTATCTTCGCTCGCATGGTCGTCTCTCTTGCCTCCACTTATGGCATCTTTATTGTATCAAGCATCTTGGCCCTTGATCCATGGTGAGTCCGCTTACCGGTCGGTTTTTCCCCACTGACACACTTATAGGCATTTGATTACCTGTTTTGCTCAATATATCCTCTTCTCTCCTAGTGAGTTACCGTTCCCGCCTATGTTGTTGACTGACCGCGGCAGCTTATGTCAACGTTGTGCGTCATGCTTCCTTCTCGTGTTCTCGGCTAACGAGCGTTCTTCTCCGACTTGTAGCTCAACACTGTGAGTCATCCAAGCAATGTATATGATCCACGTTGACACGAGCCAGTATGCGTATTCAAATCTGTGAGTGGACGGTGACCAAGCGTGATGCGCGTTGACCAAGCAGTCATGATCTCTCTTGGGGCACAAAAGGGGCCGATTCTCAAGCCATTGATTTGGGAGCCGTCCAAGGAATTGGACGGCACGTAGAAGTCGAGCTCGTTTCTGCCCAACAAGACATCGACGTCGCGTACCAAGACGCTCTTGATAACATCCGACTAAAGAGGGCTCGAGTAGACGTTGACGAGAACGCTCCTAAAAAAGATCAGTCGGAACAACGCCAGAAGGACATCTATGTACGTGACCGTCGCGTTTGTCATTTCGACTCTTGCTGATCGCCGATGACAGGCCAATTTCCGAACGAATGTGAGTAGAATTTTCCAGTGACGAAACTAATTTGACCGTGAACAGCTACTACTCTGTTGGTCACTTTCAAATGCGTTGCTGGCCAGCGTGATCCTCTCCGGAGGCAATGCGCAGGGAACTTTTGATGGTTCTGGGCAGAGCCGGACAGCAATCTATATGCTGATTATCTTGGGTGAGTCATCTCTGATGGGTAAGAGGATTTGGCCGGGTGAAATGCTGATAGTGACAGTCTTTGTGGCTGGCATGGCCATGTTCAGGTTTATCTGCTCCACTTTGTATTTGATATTGAGATTATTCGGAGCGTAGATTCTTCTTTGTAACGGAAGGAAAAGTAAAAAGATGCATACAGCAGTCATCCATAAAGAAACAGGTGGTACATTGATGGGTAGAAGCTAGCAGCTAGCAGCAGTATGACGGTATGAGTAGAGTACTCCACTCGGTGCCACATGCCACTTGCCACTTGCCACACTGACCTCCACCTGGTCTCTCTCCACCTTCCTTGCACTACTTACAGTACTTGTACTGTAACTTAATGACGTTGTGAGTTGAGGGACTTGTTCCATGTCTTCGCCGTCTGCATGTTCCCCAATCGACCCCCCCTCAGTGATCGTCTCATCCCCTGTCTCGTCATTCTTGCCGGTCACTCTTGTAGCAGAGGTCTGTTCAAGTCTCAACGATGCGTCGCTTCAAAGTACCCGAGGTTGGTCTCATACTATATCTGCTCTTGGTTTCTCAGCTGACGGACTGTCAGATGTCGCCCTATGCGGCATACCTTGTCTCCAAATCCTACAACGAGCTGCGGCCTTCATGAAGAATTCTGAATCAACCCGCGCTCGGCCTGGGTACGAGGTGAAACTGGACATTCAACATCACCACATGGCTCTAGAGGCCCTTTTCCTTCTCGCCGAAGAAAACATCAACGCCGTCCCATTTCATTCGGTTCAGGGCAAGTGGTTACGGCTCTACGTCGATGTCTCATTGTTACAGTCCCTGCTCGACCTCGTCGATGGACCTCCCGAGGGCGAGGACTATCGTGCTCACTGGAGGCGAGCGATCAAACGGCTCGACTTGGCCATTATCGTCGGCGGAGCTGTAGGACAACATCGGCGACGATGGATTCTCTCCCTCATCACCTGTATTCAGAACGGCGGTTATCCTCGTCATCATTCACCCGAGCAACATCCTTTACGATCATCTTCGAAAAGACGCCGGTCAATGGAGAGAAGTGACCGTCTCAACATTGCCAGCCGGAGCATCCCAGTCTTGCCGAATCCTCCCACCATCGACGAGTATCTCAACCAACACTACTCCCAACCGTTCATTATCAGGGGATACGCAGCGAGTTACTCGGCAGTGACGAATTGGAGCTCGGCGGAATATCTCCTGGACGCTGTCGGGGAGGGTCGTTATGTGCCCGTGGAAGTGGGAGAAGCGTACGATGCAGAGGGTTGGGGACAAAAAATCATTCCTTTTAGGGACTTCCTATCAAGCGCCGGCTTTGACGTTTCACCCGAGTCGGATGAGATGAATGAGGAACTAGGTGTTCAGCCTCTGTACCTCGCTCAACACTCCTTGTTCAACCAATTTCCCGCTCTCGAAAAAGACTTTCTGGTCCCCGAGTATGTCTGGTCGGGGCCGGCCACGCCCAGCGATGCGCCCGATTATCGACCACCCATCACAGATGATGGGGTTATCATCAATGTCTGGATAGGAAACGGAGGGAAAGGGGTCGTGAGCCCGGCGCACACCGTGAGAATTTTCCCGTCCAGAAAGAGATTTGGCTCAAAAGAAGGATCCGTACTATAACTGCTACCTGCAAGTCTTAGGTCGAAAATGTGTATGGCTCGCTCCCCCCTGCGTCGCTCCGCACATGTACTGTCATGCTGAATCTGGTGATGAGGACACCATCGCTTCAAAATACATGCACAACACGTCGACCGTGCCAATTTTCCGCCGAGACGAAACGTCCACAACTGAACTGCGTCAGAGGTTTCCAGACTTCTTCGAGCGTGTTGTACCACTCAGTCATGAGGCCATTCTCAACCCCGGTGATTTGCTGGTATTCGGTCCGGGATGGTGGCACGCAATGAGGGGTGAGGGAGACGGACCCGGATGGAGTATCTCGATGTGGTATTGAGAAGACGTCTAGAATGTCCAGTGACTTCCTGGTCAGGGTACGCTTTATAAGGGAGCTGGAGACTGCTAGGCAGATCTCGAGTATCGAGCCTTCTAGCGAGGACGTTAAGATGCAGGTCCCTTACTGCACTCGTATCACTTCCATACCCATGTTACTGTCAAACACCCACGATAGCTATCTGTATTTGATACGACCCTGTCACCTTCACATGACATCATTGTGTCAGACATAGAAGAAGAATGCATCAAGAGTACAATATTGACAGAGGTTAGAATACATTTGTAACCAGTTGAGACTTGGTTCTTCCAACTGCCCTTCCGTTGGTTCACGATGATTTGTCACGCCTGCGGGTAGACTGCGGTAGCAAAGTACTGCCTTAGGTGCTGAAGGGGTTTACCCTCTGGCTCGTAGAGCTAATTGTCATGAATGTCCTGAGTTAGCCTCCCTGATGTCAGATGATTGAAAGGTGAAGGTTTACAAGGGGTGTGACTACAAGGGATAAAGTAGTCACTACTTGTGATTTGGTCAAAGGTGGTGGATCAACTTGGAAGGATCCGGCAAGTCGTGCAGGGTTCCTGAAGAAATAAGTAAGCTAGTTATTGATTTGAGGTCAAGTGAAATAGCTTTTGACTAGGATATCGCGTTATGAACGTCGATGGGATCGGGCGCCTGCACCTGAGTCAGTCAGGGTTCTATGCTTGTCCCAACGATTTTTTTCCCCCTCTATCTCATGCAATACAATGTCATTCAGTATTGAGATTTTGACACGGAAGCGGAGCCTACCACCAAGTGAGAAGGAGATTGGAGGGGAAGATAGTCAAAGTGAGAAAGAAAACATGACAACTAACAGGGCTATTGTTACGACCCTGTCACTCTACAACCTATTCGCCATCATCGCCTACTTCGACAGGGTCGTAACACCTTCAACACCTTACAACATCTCTTCGACCTCTCGCTCCACAACTCGCTACATCCCTCATACTTCACCACCCTGGTATCACTGTTGTCACCTTGACATCACCCCGCGCCACTGTGGTACAGTACGAGCCATGGTGGCACCACTACGACGCGGCCCGCACCACACTGGAGGAGCCTGACGTCACCTTGATGCCACTATGTGTCACGACTCGGTAAAGTCGTGACCCGTGATTCAGGGATTTTCATGTTTTTCGTACGATTTCATATGAACTCACCCGAATTCATACGATTTCATATGAACTCACCCGAATTCATACGATTTCACACGAACTCACCCGAATTCATATGATTTCACACGAATTCACCTGAATTCATATGTACCACGATTTCATACGAAATGACCACGAATTCACATGAATTCATACGAAGTCACCCGAAATCATATGAATGATTTGCGCATCAGAAGTCCCTTGGAAAAGGATATAAGGAGGACATTTCTAGCTTGTAGTTTCTTCTTCTCAAGGATCAAAATATTATTTGCCACTCGCAAAAGACCTCATCTTGACATACTACTTACATCTGACACATCCCTCACCATCATTACCCCTGTCCACACCATCACATACACCCTTATTGTCATCTCGACCTGCCCGGATCCTTCGCAAGTCACTTAGTCGTCCGACCATATCACAAGTCTACGGACAACATACTAACCGTCGTTGTCCAAGCTAACTAAACAGTCGCAGTCCACCTGTCTTTGATTCCTCGAGGTCTGTCAAGGACAGGACCGTGACAGTATATTTTGATCCTTCACACTTGTGATTGGTCACATACTTGTTTAGTATATCTATTACCAAGACGTTACTATGGCACCAACCCGTGCTGAATTAGAAGCTAGGCTCGAAGAAGTCCTAGCCCAACAAGAAGCTATCCAACAAGAAAACAATACTTTACGTGAAAGAGTTGCTACTCTTACTATTCTTCCACCGGTACAAGGAGAAGTACAGGAGAATAATCATATACAAGATGTAAGTACTGAACGTGAGCTGACACCCGCAGATCAACAACGTCAACCATCAGCAGCTCTCACTACTACATCCATTAGTACTCGTCCTCAAGAACCTAAGGTTGCTTCACCCGAATACTTTAGTGGACAACGTAATAAGCTTACAACTTTTGTTACTCAAGTAACAATGGTTATCACGCTTCAGTCTACTAGATTTCAATCTGAAGCAGCAAAGGTATTGTATGCTGGATCTTTCCTACGTGATACTGCTTTCCTTTGGTTCCAACCTTTTGTCATTGCTACTCCTCAACCCACTTTCATGACTGACTTCAAACTCTTCTGCGATGAACTCAAGAAGACTTTTGGTGATCCAGATGAGATAGCTACTGCTGAGAGACAACTATATGCTCTCAAGCAGAGGGGTTCAGTCACGTCTTACTTGGCAGATTTTTCGCGCTTTGCTGCGCTTGTCAAATGGAATGATGAAGCAAAGGCTGCTCAATTCTATCGTGGTCTTAAAGATGCTATCAAAGATGAGCTTTCCCATGTTGGGAAACCAAAGTCTTTCAAGGATCTTCAAGACACCGCAATCCGTATTGATACACGTCTGTTTGAAAGACAAGTAGAGAAAGGTGAGCGTACAAGTACTGCTAATCCACAGGTACGGTTTACACCACGCTCAACAACTTATGAACGTTCTCAGACTACCTTCCGTCCATCTGAGAACATGCGAGCTATAGCAACATCAACCTTGAGTTACACTACCAAGGGAGGTAGACTTACGCCTGCTGAATATCAAAGACGCAAAGATAATAATCTTTGTCTCTACTGTGGTGACAAAGGACATATGGTTCTCAAATGTCCTGTTGCCCCACCTCAACGTAAACCTGCTAGATACCAAGCTAGTATGGTAAGTACAAACAAGAATAAAGCTATCCCCTCGGGAAAAGCTTAGACCCCCAGTCTACTAATCACGGTCACCTGGGATTGGAGGGTGACCATAAACAGGTCTCCGTTTCACTTGGCTCCACATTTCCTTCCATTGAAAATTTTGATATAACCCAAAAACAGTTGACTCTCCGGTTTCATCTAAAAGATCACAAAAACATATTTCAAGCTTTGATAGATAGCGGTGCTAGTAATAATTTCATCGATAAAAGATTTGCTGAAGAAAACAGATTAAAATTAATAAAAAGAGAACCAACTCCGCTATACCTCTTTGACGGAGCAGGTAAACCATCTACAGTAAAATTTGAGACAGTTGCTTGTCTCAACTTTCTTCCACCATTTGGACCTTGTTGGACTAGGTTATTAGTCACCAAGTGTCATCTTTGTCCAGTCGTGCTTGGTATTCCATGGTTACGCCAGCATGACCCGTTTATCTCTTGGTCTAGACTTTCCATAAGACCAAGTTCTATTTGGCCTACTAATTGTACAGTAGGGTCATCATCATCTTCAGTATCAACATCCAATACATCTGCGCGCATAGGGGAGGTGACCGGAATAGTACCTCTGCCCTCTTCAGATGAGGCAACAACATCTTCTACGCCTCACGAGTTCAACCTAGCGGTGTCGACTACCACTAGGCCGTCAACCTTGACAGAAGTCGACTCTGACAAGGCCGATTCAGATCAGGCTTCAGTGCCCCCTGAATATCATCAATACCTGGATGTCTTTAGTAAACAGAGCGCCGACAAGCTCCCAGATCATCGACCATTTGATCATCATATCCCTTTGGAAGATGGGAAAGTTCCACCATGGGGACCCATCTACTCTCTGTCTGATACAGAGTTGAAAGCACTTCGAGAATACCTGGATGAGAACTTGAAGAAAGGTTTCATTGTACCTTCTGAATCACCAGCAGGAGCACCTATTCTTTTTGTAAAGAAAAAGGATGGTTCACTTCGACTCTGTGTGGATTATCGGGGGCTCAACAAAATCACTATCAAGAACCGCTACCCTCTCCCTCTCATCTCAGAACTTTTGGACCGCCTGCGCACAGCCAAGATCTTCACCAAAATAGATTTGCGAGGCGCGTATAATCTGTTGCGCATAGCAAAAGGCGAGGAATGGAAAACTGCCTTTAGGACCCGCTATGGCTTATTTGAATATAAGGTGATGCTTTTTGGGTTAACAAATGCCCCAGCATCTTTTCAACATCTCATGAACCATAATTTCCGAGACATGCTTGATCACCATGTCATCATTTACCTTGACGATATATTAGTATACTCCCCAGACATTGAATCCCATATCAGACACGTCTCTCAAGTGCTGGACCGCTTGCGTGAGACAAGCCTTTACGCCAAGGCTGAAAAGTGTGAGTTCCACACTACTTCTGTAGAGTTCTTAGGTTTCTTCATTAGCCCTGATGGGGTTTCTATGGACAAGAAGAAGGTGCAGTCAATTATGGACTGGCCTCCACCGACAACGCTTACAGAACTACGATCTTTTCTTGGATTTTGCAACTTCTATCGAAGATTTATCAAAGGCTATTCCAAGATTACAACACCTCTTACAACACTTACCAAGAAAGATCTTCCTTTTACATGGGGTCCATCTCAACAAGAAGCTTTCAGCACTCTCAAGAATGCTTTTACCTCCGCAGACTTACTGCGTCATTACAACCCCAATCGACAACTAATCCTTGAAACAGATGCCTCTGATTATGCTATTGCAGGTATCCTCTCACATGAAGAAGAGGGAAGACTTCACCCTATAGCCTTCATGTCAAGAAAGATGCTTCCAGCAGAGCTTATTTACGAGATTCATGACAAGGAAATGCTAGCCATTGTAGCTTCTTTTAAAGAGTGGAGACACTACCTTGAAGGAGCTGCATTACCTATCAAGATTTATACAGATCACCGTTCTTTAGAATATTTTACCACGCCCAAGCAACTCAATCGACGCCAAGCAAGATGGTCCGAATTCCTTGCAGATTTCAATTTCAACATCATTTATAGACCTGGGATACAAGGGACTAAGCCAGATGCTCTCACTCGTAGAAGGGATTATCACCCTAGAGAGCGTGGTTCTAGTCTTACGACTGAAGCAAATCCTCAGAACTTCCAACAGCTTCTCAAACCTGGTCAGTACTTAGCAGCAGCAACTGTGATGGACATCACCTTGGAGATGATTACCACATTCAAAACTGCTTTGGAGACAGACACAGAAGCTAAGGAATTCCTTGAGAAAGCCAAACAACCATCAGGCCAACATCCGTTCACTTGTGACACCAATGGTTCACTCCTCCATGGTAATCAATACTATGTTCCATCTACTGGTGATTTACGACTTATGATTACAAAACAACACCATGACTCCTTACCCTCTGGACACCCTGGAAGACGTAAAACTGTCCAGCTCATCCAACGTCACTACTGGTGGCCAGGTATGAGATCCTACGTCAATCATTATGTGGATACATGTGACATCTGTCAACGTACCAAGTCAAAACGTCATCAACCCTATGGAGAATTGAAATCATTACCTATCCCACCTTATCCATGGTCTTCGGTCTCCATGGATCTCATTGAACAACTACCATCCTCAAATAATCATAATTCCGTTCTTGTTATTGTGGACCGTCTTACAAAACAAGCAATCTTCATACCGACAACTACAAATCTCACCGCAGAAGAATTAGCAAAGCTTTACCTGCGCCATGTCTTCTCAAAACATGGTCTTCCCCAGAGTATAGTCTCTGATAGAGGATCCGAGTTTACTTCAAGATTTTGGAGAGCATTCACTGAATCATTGGGTATTGAACTTGCTATGAGCACGGCTTTTCATCCAGAAACAGATGGTCAGACGGAACGTGTGAACCAAGTCTTAGAACAGTATCTTCGAGTCTTTACATCCTACCAGCAAGACAACTGGGAAGAGCTTCTTCCTCTTGCAGAATTTGCCTATAACAACACACCTCATTCATCCACAGGAGTATCACCGTTCTTTGCAAACAAAGGGTATAATCCACAATCCACCTTCCTACCCTCTGACACACAAGTCAATGCACCAATAGCAACTACATATGTTGCAGATCTATCAACACTACATGATTATCTCAAAGATGAGATCAAGAAAGCGAATGAAGCTTCAGCAAAAGC